CTGCAAACTTCCATAGAAATAATAGAATATGGTGTATTGGTGGTTTGGATATTGTAGTGCTTATCAATATAAAAAGTTTCACCTTTAACGTGATACTTGTTTCTCACAAACCATAATCCCTTCAAAAAATATATTATGTATGTGATCATTAATATCAAGTTTTAGTTCTTGGTCTGTGGTATGTAATCACACAAATTGATAATAACTACAAATTGAGGAAATTAAACTCAAAATAACTTTAGGGTGTAAAATTTATAAGCACATTTTCAATTCTTTTTAAAAATGAAATTGTCTCTACAATATTTACCTTGCCTTTTTACCTCCTACATTATTTATATTTCTTCCTTTAAAAATTTTCTGTTTTGCTTTTATTTTAACAATGCAAGACTGAAAGTGGCTATAATTAATTTTGAATAATCAGAAGATAGCTAAAGTGTACTGTTAAAAATCTAGTGCTTAGGAACTGTGTAATATATCTTATCATTCAGTGTTAAGTACATTCTCCAAGAGAAACCACTATGCAAGTTACTTTATTATTAGCACTATTTTACCTTTACGTTGTTCAAATGTAAGATGTTAAATTTTGCTGATACTAGTGTTATATCTTCTGTCACCACAAAACAAAAATAACAACGTATTTGTTAATGACTGATTGGAATCTTAATAACAGTGAAGCTTATTATTGAAACCGTTGACGATGACAACTAATTAATTACACTATTATTTTGACACTCCTTATCACAGCATATCAATACTATACCTTAAATGGAAGGCTTCTATGGCTGTTGTTGGAACCCTGAGAATGCAACACAATACACTCATGACATGACCCCTGACACCAATCTACAAACAACATCTTTCTGCATGCTTTACACTGACACAGCAATATATCCTATATTCCATGTAATATGTTATATTATGTAATGCCTAGAATGCACAGCTTAATACATTAACTACAAAGCATACTATAGACATAACTAAGGTTGTTGCCCAAATATTGGTAAATAAATCAATTAAATTTCTTTGTATGAAATATGTAAGTTACAATTCATTCTACAGGTATGGTGGTATTTAATTATTACAACAAATTACTTTGAAAAGAGCATTTAGGAAAGTTAACCCTCTAGATACCGTCTTCGACTGTAGTCGAAATTGACCTCAAACCGAGAATTCCCATTTTCGACTGCAATCGCAATTTCGTGACTAAAAAATAGGTGGTTTTCAAATCACTCTTCTGTTTTTATTTTAGCTCCAATACGTCAGAAATTTTTAAAAACACGCATGCGTGAAGCTTTTGTCTTTCGAAATCTGTGAAGAACTCACATGCGCTTATATAAAAATTTTTAGAAATATCAATTTGAAATCGTTATTAATTTCAAAAATTTTTCGAAATGGCCGCACAAGATGTGTACACAGCTGAGCAAGCGATTGACCTGATTTTTAATTCAGACAGCGATGAAGGTGAATTTTTAGATGTGCAAGACTTAGACGTGCCTGTTAGCGATGATGACGGTGGGGCTTCAAGCAGTTCTGACGGCGGAGATGTTCTTGATGAAGATGAGCCTAGGCCTAGAAATGTGAGGGTAGTCGACGCTTTTGAATGGAAAAATCGCGCTTATAGTTATGGATGGTTGGGTAAATAAATTATATAACTGTGTGGAATAGGAATGTTTTATATTTGTTTCTATTTTTTTTTGGCTATAATTTATTTTTTTGGGGTTTTTGCTGACGATTTATATGTAGCATTTTTCTGTCATTTCTATTATATATTATATATATTATATCATATTATATTACGAAAAAAAATTCCCAAAAATATAAATTCACATCAAATGAAAGCTTATTCTATAAGCTTTCTTTGTTTTTAGAAACATTTTTCTGTATAATTTACAGAAAGATCCCAAAAATCCACAAGAACGACTTATTCTCATAAAAAGCAAAAAACCTTGTTACACTGCAAAAGAATCCGGTATTCAAGGGTTTGCACTATAAAAGAATCCGGTATCCAGAGGGTTAAACAGCAATTGGGAACGTTAAAGAGCATAAAAAGCTGAAGAGAAATATATTGTTAGTCTGCAAATATTATATTGACTTAGCATGTTCATCATCAACACTGGAAATGAAACTGCACAACGATACAAACAGAAGACCTGTAAAACACTCACTTAATAGCTATGCACAGTTTCATAAGCTGGTGTACAGTCTACTACTAATTAATACTTCAAGACTAAATTCAACAATCATTATCAGCCATATATGTCACAGATAGTTGCTAGCTTTTAGTAGCCATACAACACAGAGGCCTACTCACAAGGCAGCCAGATGGTACCATGCTTATTTTTTTCACAATTTTGTTGAGCAATAGGTTTCTGAGTTCAGCGGACTTTCTTTGCTCTTTATGTTGCTGCTTGTCAACAACAATTCAAATATCAAGGATTTGGTGAAATATAAAATAAATATTAAACACAAATCAATCTAAAAAAAAATCCTATTAAAACCAACAAAATCTAAAATGATGGGAATGTAAGAATTGAAAATAAATGGAAGAAGTAAAATCTAGAAATCCTACAAAATTCAAATAAAACAATGAATTCTAACTTAAGGCACTGTGACACTTGCACAAATTTTGGTCTTATATAGCATGCAAAGGCATGTTATTTAATGGCACACAGCTGGGTCAAAGCAACAATGGTGATGAGTTTGTGCCATGTCGTACCATTTGTCAGAGCTAAGTTACAAACAGTTCACAAAATGCATAACGTGCCAATATCTGACACCTTCGCTCTGACTCTGACCCTGCCTCTGCTGGCCTTCTCCTTAAGTGCTGACAACACTACCAAACTACAGTAGGTCCACTATCCACCGACACAATATGCATGATATTACTAGTCGTGCAGGCGACTGTTCTAATTTAAAATTTTTAACAGATGAACTGAATAATGTACATACATTAAGTATCATTATGACTGCACAAGTAACTAATTTTTAATGAATTTATGTAAAAATAGACTCACAGTATTGGCTTTGTCTGTTAAACAGCTTATGCCATCATCAGGACCTATTACCAGCTCAACTGAGATACTCCAACCAGTCTGCCAAAATAATAATAAACATCATCAATCATGTAAGGATATAAACATATGAAAACAGTCCAACCCAGCTCCTTCAATCTCTAAAATAACATACGAAACCTTTTATTATTTATGTTTTGTGTTAATTTTCAGCCCTATATTTTAGTTTTGGTATATTGCACTTATGAAAATAAAAAAGAGAAACCGTTCACAGAAGACTTTAAAAATAGCTTAACTAGGGTACTCTTTACAAACCTGCTCATAGAAAAAGTTAAATGTGACTCGATCCTTCTCCATTAATTCATGGGTGCTTCTTGGAAGATACCGCAACCTTAGCATGTACCTGCAAGAAATAAAGCCAACAATGATTATTCTAAGAAAAATGTTGCAACATTTTGAAGTTTTCAAAAAAGTTAGAATTAGCATTGAATTTTCATAATGGTAGGATGGTTCCTGAAGTCTAATGTTAATTTTATGAGTCGTATGTGTGTGAACGTAAGTGGAGGACTATCAGTAAGGGCATGTAATTCACTGATTGGTTGCTGCTCTCCTTGTATTTCAGCTGGAGGGCTGAAATGCAAATTATGACAGTGCAGCATCTTTCGGATGAGACATTTAAGTTGTTGGGTCCCGTGTGCATTATGGCCCATGTGCAAGTTAAAGAACGCAGTACACTCTCCAAAAAAGAGATTCCTAATTCACCACCAGAAGGACCCCACTGGAAATAAGTCTTCGGACTTAGTGGGTTATCCTTGGTAAGATCTACGCTAAAAATACTCCTATATGCCTATATATAATACACTGTAACAACACGGTTCTAATCACCCCAGGCTATGTTACGTTTAGTTTGAAACTTAGCAATATTATCCAAGGAGTGGGGAGGGGATGGGGGGAGGTCCAAATCAAGCAAATCAATTTTATATTTCATTTTCAAGTTTAGATCTAAGTGAAGATGTGTATAAGAGACAGCCCCCTAAATCTGCCATTGAATACGTATGTAAATTTATAAAATATTTTTTTAAATAATTTGCACTTACCCTTGTATTTTCTATAACACTTTTTGGGAGAAATTTCTTGAGACCAATTTCTTTCCTTCGGTTTAAGAAAAAAAATGAGTAGCTGATATACATTATTAATATTTAGTCTATTATACAATACTCAATACAGTTCACTCCATACGACCTTTAATCCCTAAAAGTTTGAGGTGGTGTCAGGGTTAGGTCTCCACTTAAAGAGTTAGCTTGTGTTAAAACTATGACGATTGTTATTTGGTTCTTTGAAAAAAGCGGTTATGAATTAGAGAGGTCTTCGAATTAGAGGGGTCTCAAATTATAGGGTGCACTGTACTTGTTGATACAAACACTAGTGTGCAAGTCAACAAATTTGTATTTCTTCTTCAATATATCAATCAATGATATGAATATATAACATAACACATAATCCTTGAAAGTTTGGGGTGGTGTCAGAGTTAGGTCTCCACTTAGAGGGTTAGGTTGTGTTAAAAAAATTGACGAATGTTATTTGGTTCCTTGAAAAAGCGATTATGAAATTGAGCAGTCTCAAATTAGAGAGTGTGCTGTACTTGTTGATACAAACACTAGTGTGTAAGTCAACTAATTTGTATTTATTTTTCAACATATCAATCAATGATATGAATATATAACATAACACTAGAGTATAGTCACCCTATAGAGTGCATATCTCCGCCGTCTGCCTGAAAGCCGACTAATACGCGTACAGCGTTTATAGGCAATTCCACTTTCTTTTATACTCGAGATAATTTTCACATTTTTTTAGAATTTCTGTAACCATGACCACCTTATCCTTTGAAATTTTAACCCCAAAATTTAATCACCTTTTCTTTACATCAATATGTACCACTCCACTAAATATTACAATGATTCATTCATTAGTTTTTGTGTAATCCTGCTAACAGGTAGCGGTAAATACATAACTTCCTTGACAGAAATAATAAACTGGAAGTTTTGATACATTTGATACATACTCTAAATACTCAAAATTTGCTTTTTTGTCGAGTGCAACATGTGGCATATCCTTGAAGAACCTCCTCATTTCCAAGCAGCCTAACTGTATTGGTATGTCTTGATCACCCAGTGTTTCCGCAACTTCATTCATGTAATCCTGACGAACCTGATACAGAAAATATTAATACTTTAAAATTAGTTGTAACATCCATATACTTTATTTATATTACAATTAAAGTAAAATCTTATCTTTTTATTATTTTTATGTGCACAGTTTTAAGCTGTCATTAACCAAATCGCTAAACCCTAACTTAAGCTGAACTCTAGCTAAGCTTTTAGCTGAAAAGCTAATGAATTATAATTCATTGTTTATATTCCTTTGTTTTTGTGCAAATAAAACTTCAATTTGGCTAATCACTTTCATGCTTTTAATTACAAAATTGTAAAACATTTAAAATGTAAAAAAAAAATAGAACCAGCATAACTTTGGAAGGGCCAGTATCTTGTTTTTCTTACTGGCCCTGCTGACCACTAAGGTTTGGAGGTTAATTTTCAGCCCTATATTTTAGTTTTGGTATATTGCACTTATGAAAATAAAAAAGAGAAACCGTTCACAGAAGACTTTAAAAATAGCTTAACTAGGGTACTCTTTACAAACCTGCTCATAGAAAAAGTTAAATGTGACTCGATCCTTCTCCATTAATTCATGGGTGCTTCTTGGAAGATACCGCAACCTTAGCATGTACCTGCAAGAAATAAAGCCAACAATGATTATTCTAAGAAAAATGTTGCAACATTTTGAAGTTTTCAAAAAAGTTAGAATTAGCATTGAATTTTCATAATGGTAGGATGGTTCCTGAAGTCTAATGTTAATTTTATGAGTCGTATGTGTGTGAACGTAAGTGGAGGGCTATCAGTAAGGGCATGTAATTCACTGATTGGTTGTTGCTCTCCTTGTATTTCAGCTGGAGGGCTGAAATGCAAATTATGACAGTGCAGCATCTTTCGGATGAGACATTTAAGCTGTTGGGTCCCGTGTGCATTATGGCTCATGTGCAAGTTAAAGAACGCAGTACACTCTCCAGAAAAGAGATGGGGATTGTCTCACGGTGTACTTCCTAATTCACCACCAGAAGGACCCCACTGGAAATAAGTCTTCGGACTTAGTGGGTTATCCTTGGTAAGATTTACGCCAAAAATACTCCTATACTCCTATATATAATACACTGTAACAACACGGTTCTAATCACCCCAGGCTATGTTACGTTTAGTTTGAAACTTAGCAATATTATCCAAGGAGTGGGGAGGGGATGGGGGGAGGTCCAAATCAAGCAAATCAATTTTATATTTCATTTTCAAGTTTAGATCTAAGTGACATTATATCATAATTATTGTGCTACCATTCACACAGTATATATATCAACCAAGTTAATTTGACTTTCATCAATCAAATAAAAAACATTAGTGAATGATTTAAAAAAAAAAAACAATGTTCAATCAAATCTACATAGTAATTTATTTGACCAACAATGACACCGGGCCACACCAGTAATTCAATAACCATCTTAAAAGCTTTCAAAAATGTAATGCAGGTATTATTCATTAATTGTCAGTCATATCAGCTTTTCTAGTTCTCTTTTGGTCTATAGACATAGAAATACTCTTCATTTAATCCATTGCTGGAAATTACATAGCCCATACAGTTATCTCGAAAATTTTCGATTATACAGTTGAATTCCTCTAGGAATAAAAGGCTGAGGGTGATGGTTTGTGTTGGCGACCGGTACCTTAAGTCTACCACTACGTTCTATAATGCTTCCTACGACCACCGGATGGAGGGGATGACTATCATTCAGCACCCCCTCAAACTTGATCGCCAGTCGCTCGTAGTAGACAGAGTGCACCGATCGCAAAGGGTGAACCAATCAACCTTTCACCTTTACGGATAAACTTATGCAACATTTCCCAATCCCCTCCCGAAATGTTTCCACCCCAGAAAATAAGACAATAGTTCAAGACCCCCATAATAACAGAATTTGAAAAGGATCTCAAAATATTCTCACAAACATTAAAAGAGTTTTAACTTCCTTAAACAGAACATTCGAACATTAAGTTTCTTAATTAAATAGTCCATATAACAGTTCCAAGTAAGCCTATTATCAAAGATAATTCCCAAATAAATTGCTCAACCTGCTCAATACATGAATTGTAAATAGTAATACATTTATAGAAATATTTTTTCTGAAATCGATTACCATTTCTTTCCTGGGAACATGAATGTGAAGTTATTTATATTACAAGTACTGGCCAAAAAGGCAAGAAAATTGATAACTTCCTTTATAACTACTGCAACAATACTTATCACAACATTGCAAAATAATACCATTAAAAAAACAGGACACAAAACATTTCCAAACAATCTGTTGACTGTTTACCTCCATTCTAGTGTCGGATGTATAGTTTCATATTTACGTCGCACTTGGCCTACAGTCAATTCTTGATGTAACCAATGGCTCTCATCACTGTGCAGATGTTGCAGCCTGATTGCATACGAGCCTTCAAAAGTAAGCTTTGATTTAGATAACCTGCCAACTACTGCACGTATAACACTCTGAAATCAAATTAGAAACAATCTAAATTTACATGATCCAATAAACTGTAATTTTTTTTTGTCTAAATGTGATGCTTATTTTCAAAGTAACAATTTAATGATTTATAAATTCCATTCACTGGCTGCATACATTATTTTGTTTTGCAAAAATACAGAGCAATTTGCTGTTGACTGAAACTAGGAGTCAGAGCATTCTAAAATGTATTTTCAGTGCAGAAAATACTGTAGCTAATTCCTTAATAATAAGCTATGTGGAATGCAGTTATTCTGAAATCTGTCTCATTGTGTAGTTTGATTATAGGTTAAAAGTTATATAATTTATTTATTTATTTATTTATTTCATTTCAACAAACCAACAGCGAATCATCGAAAATATATAAAATTTAAATATATATCAAATATATAGATGAAAGAGTACAAAAATCTCACCTATTCAAATGATTAATAATAATAGAACGAAATATAGACAACTATTGTGAAAAATGTCAATATTAGAGGTTAAAATAAGAGAATTATATTGAAGAGAAAGTCTAGAAATAAAACTACGTTTACAGACATCAACTCTACAAAAGGGGACATTAAAGGTAGGACAGGAA